CCTTTGAACGTATTTCATTCATAGTTTCTGAAGTGCAAATAAAACTCATTATTAATTGACCTAAGGATAGGTTTTAATAAACTCTGAAGTCAAGTAAGATTTGTAACATACAAATACAAAATGTAAATAGTAAACAAAGAACAACTGTGAGACAATAAATATAAATTCATGAGTTAAATAAGGAATAATAACAGTTCTTATGTATAAAAATATTATCACATTCTTCCCACCCTAAAACGAGACGTAGTCTTTTAGATAGTAAGGTCTTTGCCGTACACGCTGTGGATGCGTTTTGGAAGGCACTGAACTTGAGTCTTCGCAAGAACTGTTTGCATGTTCAACTGGTACATTCGTGTCACTTAATGTCCCACTAGAATCATTTTCCTCTTGTTCTTGATCAAATGAAACCTCCGGTTCTTGAATAACTTGTTCATTTCCATCTGTTTCTGGCAATTGGTAGTCTGTTTCTAAAGATGATTGTCCAGGTGCTGGGGCCAGATCTCTTATGGATACTGTCTTCTCTTGTCCATTTGGGAGTTTCACATGAGCATAACCTGGATTTGCTTGAACAAGTTCTACCTCTTCTACAAGCGAGTCATACTTGCTGGATCTGTTGTGCTTTCTCAACAGCACTGGGCCGGGTTGTGACAGCCAGCTTGGAACTGAACCTCCATAATACGATCTTCTGGGGTGCTTAAACATCAGTTCATGAGGTGTTGTATTGGTTGATGTACATAATAATGATCTTATTGAATGAAGTGCTTCAGGAAGAACTGATTCCCAATACTTTACGGGTAGGTCTTAGGTTCTGAGAGCAAGCATAACAGTCTTCCATATAGTACCATTGAATCTCTCTACTTGGCCATTCCCTCTAGGATTATAAGCAGAAGAGTGGCTTGACGCAACACCATGAGTTTGTAAGAAAGACTTTAATTCGTCTGACATTAATGACGTTCCTCGGTCTGAATAAATGAATGAAGGCATACCAAAAATTGTAAAAATTTCTTTCAGTTTCTCAATCACGGTACTGGAAGTCATGTCTCTACAGGGGAAAGCAAATGGATATCGTGAATACTCGTCTACAACAGTTAATATGTATTTATTTTGTGTAGCACTTGGAATTGGTCCTTTAAAGTCCAAGTTCAGTCGCTCAAAAGGTGCTGTAGCTTTGATTAACGTACCTTCATATTTACAAAACCTAGGCTTAAGTTCAGCACAAATTCGACATTGAGCTGTCGTACGACGAACTTCTTCCAGTGAAAAAGGTAAGTTTTTCGATCTAATCCAGTGGTAGAATCTTGTCACTCCAGGGTGACACAGACTCGTGTGGATATCATTTAAGTTTGGACGACCACAAATCGTTCCACACCATCGTGACATGGTGTCTGCAACTCCATTTTCCTTGCCTGGTCGATATACGATATCATACTTGAAACAAGACAGTTCTAAACGACAACGCTGTATCTTTTCATTCTTTATTTTTCCAAATCTTTTATTGTCAAACATGAAAGAAACTGATCTTTGGTCTGTAATGAGTAGGAATGGCCGGCCAATAAGATAGTGTCTCCACTTTTTAAGAGATTCTACGATTGCTTGAGCTTCTTTTTCAACAGAAGAATGGTTCTTTTCAGATAGTTTCTATAACCTGCTCTTTGGTGACAGCACTAAATCTGAAATTATTCTCAACTTCTCCACAGTAATATTCCTGATACAATGCCAATCTCTTTTGGTCAATACTATTACCTGATCCCATACTTGCAAAAAACATATTTAATTCATTTGGAGGAAGTTGACAAGGGCTTTCTTTTTCACATTTTTCTAAAACGCCACTTTTAGACAGTGTTGACCAGAACTTCTTAGAATTGTTTGCAATCTAGGTTGTGCGCAAAATATTCTTTCTTGGCCCTTCGAACGGCACTATTTAGCTCATTTCTGCATTTGATGTATAATTGTGTGGCAGTTGGGCATCTGTTATGTATAGCTCTTAATTTGTTTTTCTCTTTGATAAGGCTATTAATTTTGGAAGTAATCCATGGTGACTTATTTCCTGTCACACGTTCCCTTACTCCAGGGGTAAGGGTTTGTATCTTTTGATGCCAAAATATGATTCCAATTTATTTCTGAAACAAGTCTCAAAAAAACTGCCATGTCAAAGTTTTTATAGTCTCTATAGGAAATAAATTTCCCAAACTTTTTAGCCATGAAAATTGGTATTTCACAGTAAGTCAGCTTATGGTTGGTGATTTTCTTCCCCCTACCATCCAATATTTCTGACGTATTTACAACTTCAACGTATGGGTTAAGGCATTTATCAACTATGATGTAATCTATCAGGGAAGATGATGTCGCTGTACAACGAGTGGGCTCACTCACGACCTGTGTTAGCCCCAAGGAATCCAATAGATTATTCAAGAATTTTGTACAGGGCTTACTAGCATCAAGCATGTCAACATTCAGATCGCCCAATAGAACAATTCTGTCTGCCTCTGGGGAGAAGTCTACAAACAAGGAGTACAACAAAGAACTTAAAGACGAATACAACACTGATGGAGATCTATGTGCAACACAAACACACAACCTTTCGGATTTGATATTTACAAGAACACAGAGATTTTGTATACTGCTGTCAACGTTAGAAAGATAGACCTGAGTGAAACGAAGATCACTTCTCAAATAAAGAGCAACTCCACCTCCACTCTCATTAGAGATCTTATCAGAACGCAACATATTGTAACCAAAAATGTTGTAAGGATCAGAGGACATGCCAGGCCTAAGCCAAGTTTCAGAAATCCCTAAAAAGTCAAACCTGAAATCATTAACAAGAGAACGCAACTCCTCAAATCCAGTATTGAGGGAGCGCAAGTTCACATGTGCTATTCGAGTGGTGAATGTTGAAGGATGAGCTTGTTTCCCGATGAAGAGGATAAGATTGAAGACAAAGGCTCACCAATCACACCTCTAAACGAAACATCAGGATTAGGAACATCACATGAGACGATCACTTTATCATCTCGTTTGGACCAATCAGACTTAGCGGAATCAAAGGTGCCGATCACCTGGCTGATGTAGAAGAACATAAATTCTCCAAGTAAAGCATTACCTCTTCTATTAATATGTCGGCCATCCCTTCCTAGATGACTTTTATTAATTATAAAATCTGCCTCTGCAAAATGAACTAGGAAATTGTTGCACATTAGATTGAGTTGATCATTGAAGTGTTCTAAGGCTCTACGATTGATATCTCTTCGGCAGATGACACTGTTGACAACGATCTTAGATTCAAGAAAAAGCTGCCTAGCTGTACACAGGCTGAACCACATCCATATGGCTGTGCAATTATTTCAGACAAATTAAACATCACTATATACACACATACTGTTAGAAAGATATTTGTCTGCAGATTTGCAGAATACCTTTATAAATTAAAATGGCTCAAAAATAAGCTCAAAAAATGAATTTAAAATTTAAATAAAATAACATGGGCCTAATGGGTTGCCTTGCTGGTGACGAAATACAATGGAAGAAATTCCATATAATATGTCCACAATTGTGCACTTTCGTGTACGACAAGCGCATGCCTTGACACAGATGGATGTGAGTAACACATGTGTCAAGGCATGCCCAAAATGAGTCGGAAGGAGCTCCATTCCATAGCGCACAGCGTTGCTCAAGACGATCCACCAGTCTTGGATTTCTGTACGTTTCAACTTGCAACTGCTTTACATTTTTGACAAGTCGTCTGTGTTTTAGTTGTTTGAAGCATATTGAATGACTAAGAAGCCTCAGGATTCATAGAAGATTATGAAAATATTGAAAATTAAATTAAAAGAAAATTTATTTTACCAGACAAAGTTTGGGCCACACGGACCTTTCTTACACTTAACCTGACATACGTAAATATAAAGAAATAAATATACAATGAAATTTCTTAATTGAGCGGAGCGAAGCGAAGCTCTTTGGGATCAACTTCAATGCAATCTTTATAACACTTAATCTCAATAATGGTTGATTATATTTTAACCAAACTTACCAAGGTTGTTTTGTCAAATGTTTGGATGTAGATGTAAGCGATTTCAATTTTTGATAATGCCTATTAAAGTAACTCAGTTTTATAATTTTAACATTGGCTTTATACCTGGGTTGCCACGATGGTTACAAAATAATGACGTAAATGTAAACTAAACAAAGAATCATAACATATCTTAAAATCAAGCCACAACCTAAACACAGTAAAAAGGAAAAAATTCGGATGATGACAACTGATCAAATACACAAATAAAGTCTAAGCTTAACATTTAAGTCACAATTTATGAAACAACCACTGATCGAATAGGTACAGTCATTGATAAAACATACTTTCTTAGGTACAGTATTTAACGGATTTGATTACGTAGCTAAATAAGATATAGCAAATAACATTTTATCTTAAAAAATCCGTTGATGAATCACATTCATGGTACCTTTACTAAAGTTTTGAATATAAATTTGGGACATGTGGACCATTTCAGATTTATACCTTCCCATAGGTGGTTACTATGACTGTGCTAAATTTCATGCGGATCGCTTCAGCCGTTCAGGAGGAGTATTTGTAAAACAAAAGCATGAGTGTAGTACAAGAGCTTCGCTCACTCCGCACAATCATTACAATTACTCCAAGAAAAATTAGCATCCAGTCCCAAACCAAGGAATTTTGCGCTGCCAATAATTGGTATCAACTGGTCCTGAAAGGTGATTTCTGAACTGAAAACTTCTTTTGACTGTGCAGTAAGAAAATGTAATAGTTGAGTTTTACCTTGACTAAGTTTTAGTCCATTAACTTCGAACCAGCCTGCCAATTCAAAGAAAGTTTGATTAATTTTATGCTCCAATTCACAACTTTAACTATACTTTTGTTTTAACTTCTGATTTAAAATGTTTTACAAGATTTGTACTATTTGAAAGACTCCCTTAATAAACCCTTTAAGATTGCAAATAATGGGAATCTAAAAAATGAAACAATATACCTAAAAACACTTTATTCAGAATATGTGTCTTGTCACAAACTCAGTACAGAAAAACATTAATATATACTGCATAAATGGACGTAATAAAATTTCAAATAGGAAACAACCAGACAAAGCTTGAATGACAATCATATTCTAAATTATAACAAAACCCAACACAGCCTAAAGGGTAATATTAGTAGAAACACTTGGTTAGATCACTGAAATGTTGCTTATACTAAAATAATCTATCAAAAACATTATTTCTTCTATAACTGGGTGTCTTCTTACTCATCTTAAATATCTCAAGAGTTTTCAACTTAAATTTCATAAATTGAAATTATAACATCAGTAAAGAAAATTAAATAGAGTTTCATTATATTCTAAAACTTGGAATCAATAAAGATTTTTTTCTACAATAGTCATTTTGGAACATCCCAAAGTGCCATTGAAAATCCTGAACTGAGGTGTTTTTATGGTAATAAAGACACCCTATAACTAACTAACTAGGCAATTCAATTGAATACCAAAGTACAAAAGTAGTAAAATTGCAAAAAGTAATATTGATTAATTACAAATTATTAACATGGACAAACACAGTCAGTAGTTACAAAACCTAAACAAACATTTAGTTACTTGGGTAAATGCAACAAATAGCCTACTAAAATAATGTTGAAACAATATGATGAAGCTTATTGAGTCTTATTGATATACAGTAATTGATTAGTCTTCAAATACTTGAATACTTGTGATCCCTCAATTTTTCCATCAAATTTGTAGCCTATTTGATTCTGGACAGTTCAATATATATATCTCTGGAATGTATCAGACATGTAAATACTGTTGTTTATTCTAAATACTGCTGCTATGTATTAATGATAAAAAAATATACACAAAAAAGTGTATTTCACAATGAGTACTCTTATAGAGTCCCACTAAATTTGAAATTACTTCAAGTTAAATATTAAAATTATTAACGATAAATATTGAATTTTCATTCCTAGCAAACAATCACACCCATTTTCTGACTAGCCTCTGTGACTCAGTTTGAGTATGGGTAACACTGTAGACATAAACAAATGTTTATCATTACACAGGTGAAAAATGTTAAATTATACAAAAACTAATATTCATAGAACATAACATGGGCATTGTGTTGAGTTCTCTAATCTAATCTCAAATGCAAAATCAACTGTCTAATATCAAACAGAATCCTGACTAGCTTCAGTCAATGGATGAAATGGTGCACACAATTGAGATGCCTCACTAGCTATGTCAATCACAACACCAGTTACATCTAGAGTAATATAAAAGATACAAACTTGAGATTTACATGTTACGACAGTGATCCTAGTCGTATAAAAGTACAAGTGTCAAACACGAATATGAAAGTAATGTTTCTTAATCTTATGAATATATCCATACACACTAGCAAGATAAGAATACAGTACTGTACTTCTTTTGTATTCTCAGGTGTTTTAGACAGTCTCGTACTCCTTGCGTATGGAACGAGCCAAGAAGCAGGCAAACACCACACCAATCAGCTGCAACCAATAATAAATAACCCAAATTAGAAATAAAATCAATTAGAAGTTAAACTAGGTGGTGTTCACAGAGGCATCCACAAAATTGAGCGGAGTCATCAGGGTTCCATATACAGGGTGGAACGAAGTTAGTGTTAAAAAATTTTATGTGTTAAACTACTAAGTATTGGTGACAAAATGGCACCAATTTAAGTTTCCATACCCTCACAGGTAGGGAATAACAGACAATTTAAGATTTTTTCAAAATATTTGTACTTACTTACATAAAATGGCCATAAGTGCATTAAACATTGTTTTTATTCCAAATTCATTGTCATTTTCAGAATCCTCGTTAAATTTCCAATGGTAATAATACAAATTCATTGAGATTAAACATCTGCATAAGCCCTTATTTGACCATGAAAGTTTGAATTTGTGATTTTTTATAAAAAAGTAATAACTTTTTCCAAAGTTTTTCTATACTACACTGGACTGTAGAGAGTGTCAAATATAACTAAAAACTTCTGCAGTTAATAACCTTTAAAATGATGTATAAACATCTACTGTTCCTTTGATTTGTTGTTCTCAAATTTAAAAGTTTCTCATGAAAAACACTGAACGGCTAATGTTTAATTTCCTTTAAAATAACATGTATTTGCTTAAACAATATGGCAATAGCTGCAATAACAGTTATATTTGAATAGGTTCTATTGTAATTTTTAGAATCCTTGTGAGATTTATTGTAAGAATATTAAGGATCTATTAGGATTAACATCCATATAAACGTATGTTTTGTAAAAACATGTTAAATTAGTTTTATTTTTATTTTTTGAATACATTGAATATTGTTTAAAGTTACACATGGTACATTTAACTTAAGATTTTTTTAAGCCTAAGCAAATACTTCCAATGGAGTAGCCTATAAAATTATGTAGATACTACACTTTACAATGTTGTCAATATGTTCACCAAAAACCGAAAATTAACCTAAGTATAGTATACCAATTAATTGATTGTAGTGCTTAGACACATGCTAATGGAAATAACTCAGTCAAGTGATATATTTCTTAACTAAAATAATTGTTAATACCTCAAAAATACTTAGTTTTAGTTATTTATACAAAAACTAAAAGTTAATTCTAAAACACACAATATTCGAAAATTAAATAACTGTTCCTTACTTCCTTGACGTTTTAATAGTTGCCTTCTATTTGATGCCAACTACTTGAGTTTTTTTTTTCAAAATCTCCTCCATTCTCCCAGATACACAGCCAAGCTTTTTTTGCACGTGGCACCAACAGTAACATTAAAATACAACGTTCCTCTGACTAGCACATCTGCATTCATTATCCAGTAGTTATTTTCCTGATTATCTTCCACTAAAGATGAGTAGACCAAGTACTCCCCATAACACACAAAGCAGGTCTAGTGGACTTAGGTCTGGCGACCTGGCATGACAGCAAACCACACCATATGACCCATCATTATTATTCTTATCATTCAAGTTGTGTATTTTGCTTTAAGTCGATCTCGCACATCGGTTGAATGTGCCATAGAACTAACACCGTAAACGATATTTAATTTATTCGAATAAATAAGAAGAAAACCCCCCAGGGTGTCTAGTTTATTTCCATTGTAAAATTCAAGACTAATTCCAGACTTTTCAAGACTAATTCCAGATTTTTCAAGACTAGTTTTTTTAACAATTAGTGGGCGTTGATAAAAAAATGTATCGATTTTCGATTCTTGAAACCGATACCAATTTTTGTAGCTTAACCAAATTTTCTAAATAATACTACACCAACCCCTGTCTTTTTCATAAAGTAGTATTATGATAATGTGGAGATTTCAAGTAAAGAAATAATGCAGCAATGAAAAATTCTAACTAGCAAATTTGGTTGTTTTTTTATCATGAAACTACTGCTGGTGTTTTCTGTGACCTGTCTAAAGCCTTTGATTGTGTGGATCATTCAATTTTGCTTTCTAAATTAAAAGACTACGGTATAAAGGGTAAAAGTTTTTCTTTATTAGACTCTTATTTACAGAACAGAAAGTATAGAACAATAGTGACCAAAAACGATGTGAAACATATGTCAAACTGGAATTTATCTAATTATGGTGTACCTCAAGGGTCAATATTGGGCCCTCTTTTTTTCCTGATCTTTATTAATGACCTTCCAAAAGCTATTGGCAGAGATTTAATCTTATTTGCTGATGATACAACAGCAATCATAAGAGAGGATTCAGTAAATAACTTAATTGTATCAATAGAAAACACTTTGGATTGTATGAAAAATTGGTTTACAGATAATGGTTTAAAGCTGAATATTGACAAAACTCATATAATTAAATTTTCTTTAAAAAAACAATGTAATTCTTGATAAAATTCCAAATTTAGTAGAATCTCATAGATTTTTGGGTGTATTGCTTGATACTAATATTAATTGGAAGATTCACATAGATAAGATGAAAGGCAAACTAAGATCTATTTCTTTTGCTTTCTTTCACCTGATAAACTGTGTACCTCAGGATACATGTATCACAGTTTACTATGGATACGTTGAATCCATCTTGAGGTATGGAATCATACTGTGGGGAGTGTCAACAGAAGTCAAATCCCTACTAATTTTACAGAAAAAAATTATTAGAATCTTAACCAAATCAAGAAGGAGAAAATCATGTAAAAACCTGTTTAAAAATCTTAGAATTCACACCATTTTTGGATTATACTTAAATGAAATTCTAAATTGGATACATAACACTAAGGAAAATTTGTCAGATGTAGTCAAATTTACACATAATTATAATACAAGGAATAAATATAATTTCAGATTACCACATCACAAATTGACGACTTTTAGGAACAGCCCTCAATATATGGGACTTAGATTGTACAATGAATTACCCCTGTATCTTAAAAATTTAAATGCTACTCAATTCAAAGATAAAATAAAAGATAAAATAATTGAGAAAGCCTACTATTCACTTGACGAATTTTTGGAGAACCCTATAATGTAGATAAAAATTCTCTGATATCCTACATGAGTTTATTTTAACTATTAATTTTACTATAAAATACATCACTATGACGAAACACCTGTTCTTATGTATGAAATGTACTTTATAAAGAACGTATTGTGTAAATAAAATATGTCTTATGTCTTATGTCTTATGAAATCTTCCGCGTACCGTACATTTAGACATAATCATTGACTGCAGCGGTTACAGAAACGTGATCGTCGTCGTCCGCAATTGGGGCAAAATTATGAAAATTTTCCGCGGCTGTTTAGACATCACCGTCATCTCCAGCGATCACGGAAACGTCATCGTCGACGTTCGCAATCACGGCAAAATCATGAACATTTCCCGCGGCCGTGTAGACATCATCATCGTCTCCCGTGGTCACAGAAACGTCATCGTCATCTCCCGCGGTCACAGAAACGTCATCGTCATCTCTCGCGGTCACAGAAACGTCATCGTCATCTCCCGCGGTCACGGAAACGTCATCGTCGTCGTCCGGGATCGCGGCAAAATCATGAACATTTCCCGCGGCTGTTTAGACATCACCGTCATCACCCGCGGTCACGGAAACGTTATCGTCGTCGTCCGCGATCACGGCAAGATCATGAACATTTCCCGCGGCCTTGTAGACATCATCGTCGTCTCCCGCAGTTACGGAAACGTCATCGTCATTTCCCGCGGCCGTGTAGACATCATCGTCATTTCCCGCGGCCGTGTACACATCATCGTCGTCTCCCGCGGTCACGGAAACGTCATCGTCATCTCCCGCTGTCACGGAAACGTCATCGTCATCTCCCACGGTCACGGAAACGTTATCGTCATCTCCCGCGATCACGGAAACGTCATCGTCGTCGTCCGGGATCGCGGCAAAATCATTAACATTTCCCGCGGCCGTGTAGACATCATCGTCGTCTCCCGCAGTTACGGAAACGTCATCGTCATTTCCCGAGGCCGTGTAGACATCATCGTCGTCTCCCACGGTCACGGAAACGTCATCGTCATCTCCCGCGGGGGGCGATGTCTACTTGTACCGGCGTCTAGTTGTACCTGCTGCATTTTGGTGACAGGCGTCTAGTTGTACCCCGTCCAAAGCTGTAGAGACAACTTGACGATGGTGCGGACGTCTAGTTGTCTCTACGTCTAGTTGTCTCTACGTCTAGTTGTACCTCTTAAAAATCTACAGGTACAACTAGTCGGGAACGTCACCGTCTACTTGTACCTCATACGTCTGCGTCTACTTGTACCTACGACTACTTGTACCTACGACTACTTGTACCTACGACTACTTGTACCTACGACTACTTGTACCTACGACTAGTTGTACCTACGCCTACTCGTACCTACGTCTAGTTGTACCTGCGGCTAGTTGTATCTCCCCTTCAACTTGTCACCGGTTTAAGAGATTAATTTTATTTCTTTAAAAATCATACAATCTTACAACAATTTATTATAAACAACTTGCTACAAAAGCCAGGAAAATTTGGCTTGTCTGCAGCTCATTGAGAAACCCCTGTTCTTGACAACAACGTACTTGTGTCCCTTGGTCAGTCCTTTTCCATATTACACTTTGGTTTTCCTTATTTCTTGTCAAGATCTGCTATCATTGTTTTTTCCACTTAAACTCTACTTCTTAGGTTTATACACAAAACTTTTATCATCTGACCACCAAACCCCACCAAATTTCGATTTAAAAGACACAGCAGACATAGCTCAGCACGATAATTCACCAACTTCTATGACCACTGCTCAAGACGAACTGACATCTTGCATATCTGGCATTTACTTATACCTACGGGAGGGATGGGGGTGAGATGTATTTCCACGAAACGTCCCCGGCGCCGGGAATGCAGTGTATGGCATATGTTTCTTTTCCATCTACCTTTCAGTAAACTAAGGCCCCTATTATCCGTGAGCAACATGTGGCGCAGCTAGCGGCGCCGCCGGCGGAGCCGCCGGTGGCCCACAGTGTTTTGGAACCTGGAGACTAGTCGCGCGACACA